TTTCCTGGAGAGACAAAATAAGAGAAAAACTTAGGGGAAAATGTTAAGGAGATCACATATGTGTAGTGTGTAAGTGTAACTTTCACTTTGGCAAAATATATACCAAGTCAATCACGTGGCAGGCAGCTAGTTTGAATTATGAACTTAGTGGGGCCAAAAGCATACAATATGGCTGCCCTCCCTCCCTCTGTATTTTGTTTTCATACTTTAGAGATGATGACTAATTTGTTGAAATTATTGGTTGTCAAATTTGCCCAATTCACATCATATCATTGCAAAATCTTATAATCTAGATACGATAAGTGTGACAATGACATAAAATATCAGGATTTATTATCTTAAGCTTTGCCATACATTGTCTGAATAAATCAAGAAACCAAACTCCTTTCTCACTCAAGATGAAAGAAAGGGGACGCCGGTCCAATTTAAAATTTAGGACGGTGGCTTTAGCTTGGTGAGGTATAGTTTTTCTTTATTCAATCAAAGTACATCTAAAATAGGTGTAATTTTGGAGAAAAACTTAAGGAGGAATGTAAAACTTTACAACTGAGATGTGACAAAATAAAGAATCACATCGATTTTTTTTTATAAAACTTCACACCTACTCAACCAAAAGAAATTCCCCACCTCCTAGGCTAGCATGTCACTAAGTTAGAAATATTACGGGCCAAATTTTTTTTGTGGTCCCTGTGGTGATACGCCACTTTCAATGTGACTCTTGTGGTGAAAAAACTATTAATTAAACCTTCGTAGTGAGCCCTGTTAGCAATTGAGGTTCAAATCCAAAGTTCCGTTAGTCTTCCGTTAAATAAAATCATGTGACTATCACATGTGGATCGGTCAAAATTAAGTTTATTTATTTTGAAAAATAAAAACACATAAACATGATTGAATTAAAAAAAAAAATTACAAACAAAAGAAACTTGTAAAGATAAAAAAAACCAACAGTTCCTGTATCTCATCTCAAGCTCCTAGCCACCGCCATAGCCACTAGTGGACTCCTCCACCGTCACTAACCATCACCTCAATTTGATAGTACATGTATCTCAACCTATATAATGCAGAAAAATCACATATGCACAAAAATAACTTAAAGAGCTAAAGAAAATGGGTGAAATGCAGTATATATGCATTCAGACGGGTGAAATGCATTGTAGAATTAAAGACTACGGGTGAAAGGCATTGCGGAAAATTCAATCTTCAGGTCTACTCTCCGCATATGAATTTCAAGAGCGTAAGAACGTTAAAGAATTAAAATTCAAAGAAGATTAAGAAAAAAATTTGAAAAGTTGTGTACTGGCCGACTAGGGTCTGTATAAAACCACATTACCAATTAAAAAACAAACTGAAAGGTATTTATGCATTCAAACTGGTACAAATTGATACAAGAATGAAAATTCAAGTAAGACTAAGACTAACTCATGATCAAAGACGTGTTGGCATTGAAAAAAAAAAACAATGGTATATATATTAGAAGTATTAGAATTTTCAAACGAAATTAAATCATACCTAAGAAATTAGACACGATTTCACCTTCACCTTTTCTCCTAGCCATTGACATGGTTTTACAAGTTTAGTTCCAGTCTTCGCGTTCAAGCTTTTTTTTTTTTTTTGTAAAATCTAATTTCAGTTATACTATAAATTATACTAGATGTCCATTGAATGAGATGTAATTTGGATTGAAATGATGAATTTGACCCTTCATGTGATAGTCACGTGAATTTATTTAACGGTAGACTAACGGAAATTTGGATTTGGACCTCAATTGCTAACAAGACCCACCTCGAGGGTTTAATTAAAAACTTTTTCACTACGAGGGTCACATCGAAAGTAGTGTATCATCACAAGGATCATGAAAAAAAATTTGGCCAACTATTAATAATATCCATAATAAGCCAAAATATTTTCGTGGTCCTTGTGGTGCAGTGACTGATCCAAAATCTTACCTCAAGGGGTCAAGGTGTAAAACTGTTTAAAATTTTATTTCAAGGAACAAAGAAATAAAAAGTTAAACGATAGTAGTTTCATGAATTATTTCTAGTTACGCCCTTTAGAACTTCATTTTGATCTCACTTTGTCTCTGTCAAAAGTCACCAATTTACTTCTTGAAACTTAAAATTCGTTCATTTGACTTGTAGACTCTCTCTTTTTGCTTAAACTTATAAGTCGCATCCTAAAACATATGTGGAATCTAATACCCAATAAGATATGCCACACATGTAATAAACTTGATTAAAAATCTTCATTATGCGTTAACATACAACAATCATAGAATATTTAGTTTAAAAGAAACCGAAGAGATGCCAAAAATAAAAAAAGAAATTGATTAGAATGGCACACCAAATCAAAACCACATAGAAATTAACAGATCTAAAGCAATGTGGTGCGGATTTTGAAATTTATAGAGATGACTTTCAAACTTGAGAGGGCAAAATGGGATCAAAATAAAGTTTCAGGAGGCAAATTGAAGCGATTTTTTAATTTCAAATATAAAGTAGCAACTTTTAAGTTTTATGAGTCATAGTGAGACTAAAATTAAGTTCTAGATGACGTAGTTTTAGCTACTTTCATACATAATTCACGATAAACGTTATTGCTTGGTTGTCAATCAGATGCCAAGCCCAGCCCAACATCAATTTTATAGATGGTCTGTACTCTTGTAATTTGAACTTTTGTGATCGGAAGAAAACTTGAATTCATAGAAGCCCAAAAGGGAAAAAGAAAACAAACTACAAAATGTCACAACCCATGCCTCTTCCAAAAACCCATCTTATCCTAATTTAGAGTTTCACCTTCTCTTAAAAATACTGCTGCAGTCTGCAGATATGAACACACAATACATCTCAGGCAACAGAACCAAAAAGATTCCAGTCATTGACTCTGAAGCTAGAGACGGCGAGTTTAAAGACCTCTGCTACCGGCATATGCCCAGATTGTACTGCAGGTACCGCAAAACCAGCCCCCACGGTGTTTGCACTTTCGCTCAAAGGACTGCAACCAAAATAACATAACCACATCAATGTCATAGAATGCACACGTCACAAATTATCGACACATAAGACTTATTAAAATGCACATATTTTCAATTTTTGACCTGAATGAATTCAACCGCAGCAGACTCAAATCCTTTCATATCAACCGTATTCTTTTCTACCATCATACACGATAATGATAACATAAAAGGAGGAAGCTATGCACTAATTGTTTGCATTTGGCAGATTTTCAAATCGATTGACTCAACCAAACTGCTTACAGACGAGATGACACGAAGATTATATGCAGTACTAAATGAAAACCAGGGAAGGCTCATCGGGAGGGACCTGTATTTCTTAAAGCGTCCAATGGATTAACAATGTAGGATGTAATTTCCCCTTTTTAGTTGCTTAACGGAAATAAGCAGCAGAATAAAGTATATTGCAAACTTCATGTAAGAAGGCATACACGACATCTAAAGGGTATGGTGCAGTCAGGAGGTGGTGTAATTCACATCACATCTTTCATACATACTCGTCAAAATCTCAATCAAAATAAACGGACATCCACGATTATCATGTTTCCAAGAGACAAGTTTCTGTTGTATCTAGATGAAAGAGCCAAAATAAGTTTCAGTCAAGAACAAACGTCAAATTTGTACGGAAACTTACTTTATATGAACGGGCTCATATGCAGTAATCAGCACATCCGTATTAACTCCCTTAAGGCGCAGATTCGCCACATAGACCTGGCCAACTCCAAACGATAAAACCTTGGTTAGCATACTTGCCCAAGTGAACTTGGAGTAGCACTCTGAAACAATTTAGAACACCAGAGAACACAACAAACAAACATACCCTCACAATATTTTGTGCATCTCTTCCTTGCCGCCCCTTGGAAATTGCCTACATTCGAAAATGAAAAACACAGATATAGCTCCCTAAAACGAATGGCATGAATCAAAAGCCAAACCGCACATACCATTTGACCAACAGCAGTTGTAACAACAGCAGGCGTGTCTCTATAACACAATCCGGGGGCCTCAATTATGCCAGACTGCTCGATCACCTGACGAAGTAATTGCGAAAATAAAACGTTGAAATACAATTGCAAAACCGATACATTAGGCTGCAAAGGTTTAGGGTTCAGGGTTTACCATGCTTCCCTCAGCATCTTGCTCAGTGGCAAGGTCCTGAAGAAACCAGTTGGCGCTTCCATTGTCGCCGACTTCATGCTTGAATTCCAAGAGCTCAAAGATCAAGCTTTCGTCCCGGGCAGGGTCCACAAACGCCTCCTTTAAAAACCCACCATATAAATAAAATCCACAACATGAAATTAAGTAAAAGAAGCAAAATTTGAAGAAGTAGTAAAACCAGTTAACAAAATTAACGAACCTGGTGATCGGGAACTTGCCGAATGTTGCTCACATCCTACAAATTTGACAGAAAAATAAGAAAAAGATGCAGAATTTGGAATAAAATTACGAAAACAAAGACCAAAATAATCAATATATATATATATATATATATATATATACACACACACAAAAACTGACCTGGAATCTGAGAGGGAAGGTGCTAGTAATGGCGCCGCCGAACAAGGGGCGCTCGGAGTAGATATCCTGGGACATTTTGTTCGGTGATGGGAAGTGGAGGCGAGCGGCGTCGTTTTGTTCCTAAAGAGTCAGAGCACAGGAATCGTGGAACCTCGTACCGCTGAGAAGCAGAAGCTTCTGGTTTCTTCTTCTGTAGAAGCTTCTGAAAGTTCGAAGGCTCTGCCTTCTGCAGATTTCTGTGTATATTTATAGCATGCAGTTGCTTGAGATTTACGACCGCTTACATATAACGCCACGCCCGGAAGGAGAGAGGCGCAACTGGCTTAAAAGCCCATTTCTCATTAACTTATTGGGCTTCCACTGGCTTAGGCCCAAGTCAAAGGTAGGAGGCCCGAGAGGAGAGAGAGGCTTGGTTTTCACCCTTCACAGAAGCGAAACGAAACGTGCGGTTAAAACCTACCAACGGACGCAACGGCGAAACGTTTCGTAACTTAACGAGAAAAGTAGTGAACGAAACGAGAGAAAATACCAAAACTCCATCTTTCTCCAACAGCAAAACCAAAAACGAAATCAAATGGCATCGTCGCAAACCCAAGCCACCCCCTGCCTTGCTTCTCCTCCTCCCACACCCTTCAACCTTTTATATTTTTTATTAATTAATTTAATTAATCAATAATCCCTCAATGATTAATAATACAAAGCTTTAAATCCCCTCCCCTCCACCATCCAATCAATTTCGTTTCAATCATTTTCAACGTCGCTGTCACGCGGCAAATCAAATCAAAAGCTCCAATCACCGCCGGTCTCCTCCCTCCCTCCCTCCGCTCGCCTCCGTCAAATCAAAAGCAGAGGAATTTTCAACGACACAGTCACGCGGCGATACCGAAATCGGAAATAGAAGAATCCGATGAGTAACCAGAAGAAGCGGAATTTTCAGATAGAGGCCTTCAAGCACAGAGTGGTGGTGGATCCGAAATACGCTGACAAGACGTGGAATGTTCTGGAGCACGCAATCCGCGAGATTTACAATCACAATGCCAGTGGCCTCAGCTTCGAAGAGCTTTACAGGTTCGCTCGCTCCCTCACCCTCCTCTTAATTTCATGTATTTGTTTTTTAAATTGCTTTGCTTTTATTTGGAGATTTTAGATTTTGTTGATTGCTGTTTATTTATTGATTATTATTATTATTATTATTTGTTAAATTCACTTTCATCGTTTTGGTTTCGATGCTTTCGAACCAGGAATGGATTGATTATTTGTAAAGGGAGAGCTAAATTAGGTTCCGAGTGTTTTGATGCCAAATATGTTTGAATGAAATGAAAACAACCTTGCTGCAGAAAACACTTGTTTGCATATGTAACGTCAAAAACATATTAAATCTTCCGACAATTAGTTGGAATGATTAGTTTTTGACGTTATTTGCAGAAATGATCAGTTTTTGAGATTTGATTGCAGAAATTATCAGTTTTTAGCAACGACGACATATTAATCATATATCGATAACACAATGATGATATAGCGACCACACAACGATGATATAATGACGACATGTAAAACTGATTATTTTTGTAACCAAATGTCATAAACTGATAATTTCAGCTAATTGCCCTAAATTTTAAGCGAGTTTTAATGAAACACTCCCGGTACTGTTTACTTTTAACAAAAAACCATATTTTTACCTTTCTTGGTACTATTCACTTACACATTTATTTGTCATTTTTTATTAAAACTAGAGTTTTTGAGGACTTTTCGTTGCCTCTCCTCCTCAAAGCACATTCACAAACCAGAAGCACTTCTAATTTGTCGTGCCAAATGCATCAGAAAGTGCTTTTGGTCCATGCGGAAGCAGTCCAAACATGCCTAATTGTGAATTGATATGCATTTAAAGTGACTATAATTGAGAAGAAGTGCTTTTAGGATTTTATGTGATTTTGCATTTTATTTAGAAAATGAGAATTGATTATATTGTTACTGAACTATGCTCTGGTTGTTTTATGGACGTAGAAATGCCTACAATATGGTGCTTCACAAATTCGGCGAGAAGCTTTACTCGGGACTGGTTACAACCATGACTTCCCATCTCAAAGAGATATCTAAATCGATTGAATCTGCTCAGGGTGGAATGTTTCTTGAAGAAATGAATAAGAAATGGACCGAACACAACAAGGCGTTGCAGATGATTCGAGACATTCTGATGTACATGGACAGGACTTACATTCCGAGCACCCAGAAAACCCCAGTTCACGAGCTTGGGCTGAACCTTTGGAGAGACAACATTGTCCGCTCTAGCAAGATTCAGACGAGGCTTCTAAACACACTTCTTGAACTAGTGCTGAGAGAACGAACAGGTGATGTTATCAACCGCGGTTTGATGAGGAATATAATCAAGATGCTTATGGATTTAGGTCCTTCAGTTTACCAGGACGACTTTGAGAATCATTTTCTTGAGGTTTCAGCTGAATTTTACAAGGGCGAGTCTCAAAATTTTATCGAGTGCTGCGATTGTGGAGATTATCTGCAGCAGGCTGAGAGGCGCCTGAATGAGGAACTGGAGAGGGTGACACATTACTTGGATGCCAAGAGTGAAGCCAAGATAACGAATGTGGTGGAGAAGGAGATGATTGCAAACCACATGCTGAGATTAGTCCACATGGAGAATTCAGGTTTGGTGAACATGCTTCTTGATGACAAGTACGAAGACCTTGGAAGAATGTACAACTTGTTCCGTCGGGTTGCCAACGGTCTCTCAACAATACGAGAAGTGATGACTTCCCACATCAGGGAAACCGGTAAACAGCTGGTTAGTGATCCGGAAACGTTGAAAGATCCGGTGGAATTTGTCCAAAGGCTCTTGGATGAGAAGGATAAGTACGATAGCATCATTAGATTGTCTTTTAACAATGACAAGACATTCCTAAATGCCTTGAATTCCTCTTTCGAGTACTTCATTAATCTCAACAACCGCTCGCCTGAGTTCATCTCACTGTTCGTTGATGACAAACTCCGCAAAGGTTTGGAGGGGGTCAGCGAGGAGGATGTAGAAATTATTCTCGACAAGGTGATGATGTTGTTCCGTTACCTGCAGGAGAAAGACGTATTCGAGAAGTACTATAAACAGCATTTGGCAAAGCGGCTTTTGTCCGGTAAAACTGTCTCCGACGAGGCAGAGAGAAGTTTGATAGTTAAGCTCAAGACCGAATGCGGATACCAATTTACTTCAAAATTAGAGGGCATGTTTACAGACTTGAAAACTGCCCAGGATACAATGCAAGGGTTTTATGCAAGTCATCCCGAGCTAGGGGATGGCCCTACATTGACTGTCCAGGTTCTGACGACAGGGTCCTGGCCAACTCAACCTAGTGTGACATGCAACCTTCCGTTAGAGATGTCAGAACTCTGTGAGAAGTTCCGTTCGTATTACCTCGGGACGCATACAGGTCGGAGATTGTCCTGGCAGACTAACATGGGCACGGCGGATATAAAGGCTACCTTCGGGAAAGGCCAGAGGCATGAGTTGAATGTCTCCACTTACCAAATGTGTGTCCTAATGCTGTTCAATAATGCCGATCGGCTGAACTATAAGGAGATTGAGCAGGCGACGGAGATTCCTGCTTTAGATTTGAAGAGATGTCTGCAATCCATGGCTTGTGTGAAGGGCAAGAATGTTCTTCGGAAAGAGCCTATGAGTAAAGACATTGGTGAGGACGATGCTTTTTTCGTTAATGACAAGTTCACGAGTAAGTTACATAAGGTGAAGATAGGAACTGTGGTTGCACAGAAGGAATCAGAACCTGAAAAGCAAGAGACTCGGCAGAGAGTGGAGGAGGACAGGAAGCCCCAGATCGAAGCTGCGATTGTGAGGATCATGAAATCAAGGAGGACTCTGGATCATAACAACGTAATATCCGAGGTCACAAAGCAGTTGCAATCTCGATTCCTGGCCAACCCAACGGAGGTTAAGAAGCGGATTGAGTCTCTTATCGAGCGGGAATTTTTGGAACGGGACAATGTGGACAGAAAATTGTATCGGTATCTTGCTTAACGAAATCGTTTAATTGTTGTCTTAGCATTTACAACTGAAAAGTGTACCTCGGCTAGGGCAAATGTAACGTTGTCCTGATCTCTGTAAGCTCCATTGATGTTCAATGAATATCCATTTATTTCCACTTGAAACATTCACTGTTTGAGTTGATCGGATGATATTTTCCTTTCCAGTAATATCACTGGTTAAATTAATGAATCTGTCAATCGATCAGTTGGAGCCGAAGACACTGCTTGTGGTTCAATCACTGCTTGGGATTCACAGTGCGGTACCTGAAAAACAAAGAACAAATGAGGATCGAGCAAGCTTGAATTTACAATCGACAAAAATGCAGCGTGGTACCTAGTTCTTCGGAAGCTAAGACTCTGAAATGAGAATGCGATTTTGAATGTCAGAGAATGCCTTCACATCTAGGCCCCATAACCTGCTTATTCAAATCAAGGGTAAGTAGTATCGACTCTGGAATCAACTAAATTTACAGCTTTGTTTTGTATAGTGCGACATTGTACTGTGAAGAACTCTTACCAGCAATCAATTCCAATGGCATTGGCCCCATCCTTATCTGCAATTTTGTCGTCGCCAACATGTACTGCTTTGCCAGCATCCACACGTACTTGATCTGCAACAACAGACGGACTTAGAGAGTAGCTTCAAAGTGTACTTTTAAATTGTAAGAACAAATCTTGATCTCTACGACGACATTGCTATGCATACCTAAAGCGGCTTCGAATATGCCTGCATCTGGTTTCTCATGCCCAACTTCTGAAGATATGATAACGGAATCAAACCTGCAAACAAAAGCATGAGAAATGCTTTATCTCTTCACGTAAAAGAAACGAAGAAACCCTACACCCGTGCACCTCGAATCCAACAGGCTAGCCCAGATGCTCACAGATGCAAAACATTAAGGTCCTCAAGTAGCTTCCGTAAGCGGGAGTCGAAATTGGATACAACAGCCAGCTTAACTCCAGCCTCTTTGAGAAGAAGCATTGTTTCATAAGCTCCATCTGGAAGACGCCATGCGTCGCCTTTAGCATAGTACTGATAAAAACAACCAAAACCATCAACAATATCATAACCATGGTCGGTTTAGACTACTTCTGGAAGAGCTAAAAGTACTTTCTGACAACCAAAAGCACTTCTAACAATGAACTAACAAAAATTTCAACGTTTTCCTTTGCTTCCTACAAAGCAATTCGCTTCAAAGCTTCAATCTTTATATATAATCACTGAAATTACCTCATAAACTTGTTCGAAATAATCGAGATTAGAACAACCAGTGGCTTCGGACACAACAAGTTTCCAAAATGGCCTCCCATCTCCCTATAATTATCGATTAATTACAGCCTTATTAGTACCCAAAACAACTAATTAGTCACACTAGTTTTGAATTATTCGCAGAAATTTAAATTAAACCAATTTAAGAACCTGGTAACGCAGCTTCTGAGGCCAAGGAGCAGAAAGTGCTCTTCTGAATCCCTGCTTGATTTCAGCTGGAGTTGCAGTCACACCTGCAGAAAAAAAAAAAAAAAAAAAAAGGGTTCTTTGAATTTGGCTCCAATTTTAAAATTTTGATGGGAAATTGAGGAGTGGGATTTCGATACGACACCGTATTTGGTTCCAATGGAAGCGTAGACATCTTCGACTGGCTTCGCCAACTGCAACAGAGTGCCTCCGGCGTCTAACAGCAATGCGTCGTAGACCTTGAGACTAAGAGCCGATCCTCCTCCTCCGCCGGAGTAGACGGACATGGAAGAGCCGCGAATGGAGTTTCTGGGGAGGTTTAAAGGGAGGGGTTTGAGGTTTTTGAATAGTGCGCCGCCGTGAGAGCATCTCATCAAGCAACCTTCCATGGCAGCGTCGTTAGGTAAAAGATTATAGTTATTTCGTTTTATTTTTCCCTAACTAACTTTTGTAGAAAACCAACGGTCTTACCAAGAACCTTTTAGTAATAAACAAAGTCCTACACAAGCATTATGTTCAACTATGTTCGCGGTTTCCTATTTATCACTGTGGAATTATAATCATCGTTTTTGTTTGATTTATTAAATTCGATAATAAAAATATAAATAAAGTCAATCATCATTTCGAGCTTCGGGGCATACATCATTAATAGGTAAAGGTGCTACCAGGCACATTCGCTCATCCATTTCAATTGGATGAGAAAAAAAATACGGTAAAATACTGTTTATTATCTTCATATTTTGTGGTTTTTAACATTTAATACATCAAGTTTTTTTCGTCTCAGATTCATACCTAAAGTGTAAATTTTGGGACAGTCTCATACATCTGTTAGTCAAACTGTTAAATCTGTCGTTAATTGTGACGTGGCGCCATGACTGGACGCCATGTGTCATCCACATTTTTTTTCTTTTTTTTTTCTTTTCTTCTTTCTTCTTCTTCCTTCTTCTGCAACTTTTTTTTTTCTTCCTTCTCCTTCTTCTCCTTCTTCTCCTTCTTCTTCCTTCTCCTTCTCCTTCTTCTTCTTCTTCCTCCGAATCTGGGGAAGTTTTTTTTTTTCTTTTTTTTTCTTCTTTCTTCTTCTTTTTCCTCCGACTGCAACTTCTTTTTTTCTTCCTCCTTCTTCCTTCCCCTTCTTCTTCTTCTTCTTCCTTCTTCCTTCTTTTTCCTTCTTTTTCTTCTTCTTCCTTCTTCTTCTTCTTCTTCTTCCTCGAATCTGGGGAAGATGAAGGTTTTTTTTTTGTTTTTTTTTGAGGAAGATGAAGAAGAAGGAAGAAGGAGAAGAAGGGGAAGGAAGAAGGAAGAAGGAGAAGAAGATGGAGGAAGAAGAAGGAAGAAAAAAAAAAGTTGCAGTCGGAGGAGGAAAAAGAAGAAGAAGGAAGGAGGAAGGAGGAGGAAGAAGAAGAAAGAAAAAAAAAAACCTCCATCTTCCCCAGATTCAGAGGAAGAAGAAGGAAGAAAAAGAAGAAGGGGAAGGAGGAAGGAGGAAGGAAGAAGGAAGAAGGAGAAGAAGGAGAAGAATGAGGAAGAAAAAAAAAAAACCTTCATCTTCCCCAGATTCGGAGGAAGAAGAAGAAGGAAGAAGGAGGAAGAAAAAAAAAAAAAACTTCCCCAGATTCAGAGGAAGAAGAAGGAAGAAAAAGGAAGAAGGAGAAGAAGGGGAATGAAGAAGGAGGAAGGAAGAAGGAGAAGGAAGAAAAAAAAAGTTGCAGAAGAAGGAAGAAGAAGAAAGAAGAAAAGAAAAAAAAAACGTGGATGACACGTGGCGCCCAGTCATGGCGCCACGTCATAATTAACGGCAGATTTAACAGTTTGACTAACGGATGTATGAAACTGTCCCAAAATTTACACTTTAGGTATGAATCTGAGACGAAAAAAACTTAATGTACTAAATGTTGAAAACCACAAAACATGAGGGTAGTAAACAGTCTTTTACCCAAAAAAATAAAACAAGTGGATGAATATAACAATACTCGTCGTTTTTAACATTTGAGGCAAGCTAAAATTTCTAGATCAAATATTTCGCTGTGTCTGCGCTACATGGTCAGGTGCAACAACAAAATCGATGTCGATCAGCACGTGCATATTTGGAGATATTGGTTGGAGCGTTTCAGAGGTAAGATAAAGATCTGAACTTGGCTTTTCTTTCTTCCAAATTTTTAATCTGTGTTTTTTTTTTTTTTTATTAAAGTCGATAAGTGGAATTTCCTTCTCTTTCTATTTTGGGATCCTTACACCAATATCGATCGGGTTACCGATTGTGGTCGGATTCGATTTGTTGGGTGGAGCCTTCCTTAAGCTAGTCTCCACATATTTCTTGGGATCTTCCATTACTCTGTTGCTGCTTGGATTATTTGGATATGCAGAAAAGGAAGCAACTGCAGAAGCAAGCAGTAATCTTCTAGGTTGGTTTCTGTGTCTCGGATGAATTTGCAGTTGCATCAGCTCTTGGTGGATTTGCAGCGGGATAAGAGGCAGATCTGAGTTCGGGCGGTGCTATTGAGTGGTGGTTCGGGTGGAGACGGCCTTGATTGTATAAATAAAAATAAATAAAAAAAGGACCCGTGGACCCTAGCCCGAATCGGCCCATTTCAAGCGGGTTGGGTTAAGTTCGGTTTCCGTTTTAAAATAGAGAAATTAGAATTAGATGCCTCATTTTAGACTTTTGTAGATTAAACATTTATGCTTTTTGAGTTTTTTATTAAGCTTTTGAAACATTTAATTAAGATACTGAGATTTGAATTACTTCAAATTAATTGAAATTAATTTACATTTAACTATCTACTATATATTTTAAATAATTTCAACTATATTTAAGTCTAAAAATTTAAACTTTTCAAATCTAAATATACACCCACGCCAAATGGAAACGTACCAACATTAAATGAAAACGTACCAACATCAAATGAAAACATACCAACCCTGAATTAAAACGTACCCAATTATAAACTATATTAAAATGAATATTCATCTTTTTGGAATGTTTAAAAACATGTTTGATTCATACACAATGCTCTAGATAGTCTTGTTTTTTTGTAGATAAGTCTCCAGAATCTAAATAATAATGATAAATCATATACTTTTGAATTAACAAAAAGGTTATTATCCGTTGATTGATGACTCTTTATAAGAAAAAAAAAATTAATTCAAGTAATTTAAACTTTTACATTGTGAACGACTCTTTATATAAAAAAATTAATTAAAGTAATTCCTCATTATTAGAACAAAAAGTAATAAAACTTATGTTTTGAAAACAAATGTATTGTTGATGCACAAAATCAGTGAGGACTTTGGTACAATAGAAAGTGTTAAGTTTGTGACCTTCGCTAGATTGCTCCGGTCACTAGTATGGATAAGTATGTAAATGGATAGAGATAGGGAAGCAAACACAAGATATACGTGGTTCACCTAGATTGGCTACGTCCACGGAGTAGATGAGTTCTCATTAATTGTGAATGGTTTACACAAGTACATAGGTTAAAGCTCTCCTTTAGTGAGTACAAGTGAATGATTTAGTACAAATGACATTAGTCAATATTGTGAGAGAATGATCTCTATTTATAGAGGAGAGTTTCTAGTTTCATTCTAACATTGACACGTGTCGTGTTGTGATTGGCTTCTGATGTTGACGCGTGTGGCGCTATGATTGGCTTATGATGTCGA